GAGTTATACAACCAAATTGTAGACTACCTCACAGGGATAACAGTTGGACAGGAGTTGAATATCAGCAACTGGATAACCCAACTCCTTGTCCTAGGGGAATTCACACTAACATTGCCTACCCAGGATCCCACATCTGCCAGTGATGACCACGGGATAGTCCCAGTTGTTATCTGGCCACAAGTATACAAAAGGGCCCATGCTGGATTTCATATTCTGTTGGCCTGATCTGAAGGAGAAGGAGTTTAGTGTGATTCCACTGTCATGGACAGATTGCTCCTCCATTAATGTTAGTTTGGTGGCTGGAACAAACTTCTGTTGTGGTTTCTACCTTAATTTTTGGCAGTATTTCTGAATATCCATGGCCCAGATATCTCCAAAACTGCCTTTTCTGGTTTAATTTTGTTCCCCAGGGAGATTAGGGAGAGGGACTTGCTCTGAGAATGCCATCTGCGGACACCTCACTGTCAAGGCTTCCCAGTCAAACTTCCCCTTTTGTGGAGCAACGTATCCCAGACATTCAAATCACCCCTTCCTTAGTATGCTTCCAAAGAACAGTGAACACGTGACTTGTCAAGAGAGCATTTGGGGACAAGTAATATTCTAATCCTGAATGACAACAGCTCAGGTTAGCTGCAGTTATGATTGCTGTGGTTCAGCTTTTAATCCTATGTTGATTTGTTATAATCCACAGAGAGACTGTGCAAATAGCACGGCACAGAAGCCAACATGAATAAAATAATAAGCCCTAACTGAGCTGTGGAATATGGAGTCATCCAAAACAGTTAACACTATCACTCCTAAGTGCTTCTTCCCTGTTAACTCCTCAGTTTAAATTAACTCCTCAGTTTAATAGGGAGCTAAGAGCAAAGAGGTGGACAGTATATCAGTTGGAGTGCCACTGGAAGAACTCTGGGGCTAGATTAGCACAGAGTGAGGCCCATCTGAAGTTCACAGCAGTGAAGGCAGTGAAGACTGCCCACCTTTACCTCCACTGCATATACACTGAGCAGGTTGGTGTTGCTTTTCCCTACTGTGAGATCGTTCCTTCACCAAGAAGATGCAACAACTCCAGAACAGCGAGTGACTTATTGGCAGTACATGCATCATTCTTTGCATCACTGGAGTTGGACTCCAGTGTTGGGAGAGGCCACAGAGTTACAATCTCAGCAACTGTTTATTCTTTTATTTTGGAATCTTTCTGGCTTATAAGTCTTGTGGATAACACAGGAACAGAGATAATGGCAATCTCTTTTATTTCTTCAACCCTTGCTCCCCCAGCTGATATAATCCCCTAGGACAGAAGGCTGAGGGTCTAACCATTAAGATCTGTAAAAGAAGCCCTTCTGAGCTACTTTGTTATTAGAGACCTGTCTGACTGGTCATGGGAAAGGGACTTCTGCCCGGTTCCAGGCCATGGAACCCATCCCAATGGGAGATGGAAGTGACCCATGCAACGCTCGGCATTAACCACAAATTCTTTATTAATACATTTATATGGCCACCCAACTCAAACTCTGTAACTCAGAGTGGCATGCAAAAGACAAAAAAACAGAAATTATTAATACAAAATAACAAAACACATTAAAACATACAAAGCAACCAACGGGTGAACAGAACTGAAAATTTATACAACTCACTCACTGGGGACTCCACTCAACCTGACCCCAAATCTCCAAATTTAATGTTTTTAAATTTTACTAGGTGCTTGTCAGAGCAAAAAGATGGGACTTTTTGCTCAGTCTCCAGTCCCAGAAGGCCTACTCATTTTAAATAAAAGGCCTGTGATTTGCAGATAATCCTCTGGAGCATTCTTAGCAAGTCTGACCTTTTGGCAGAGCCTTCAGTACCGCTCTTAAAAAAAAAAAGTTTTTGCAAGCAAGCTGATGCCTTCAGGTTTGCTTTGTGAAAACTTGGTAATACTGGCTGAATTCCATCATGTAACATTGAGCCAAATTAGGCACAAGGAATGCCTGTCAGATGGATGAAACCTCCTCCTATATTGGTTGCACTTATCTTCATATGGCCTCATTGGTAGTGAAATATCCCCCATTTACATATGGGAAAAAACTGTATTAGAACAAATGTGAAAAAAGGTAGAGACTAAGCTCTGGAAGAAAAATCTGAAATGCTACCACTATGATGCCAGAAGAAAACCCGGGGGGAATGGAAGAGTTTGCAGTTGGAAGTCCCAACCAAAACTTCTGAAATATTATGGGTAGAGCTCTGCACTGACACAAAATTCATGTGTGTGGGTCACACTCTTGGAAACAAAGCAGGGCCCAATTTGGTTACTACTTGCATGGGAGATCTCTGAAGAATTCCAAAACTGTAGAAGTCACTTGGAATCAAGTTTGATTGTACTGAAGAACCATAAATTTTCAGTTTTGAAGGCTAGCTAAAAGGTTGGGCCCTGTGTACCGTGCCAATATGTTGAACTTGTAAGAGACTAGAGTAGAAAATCAGAGAAAAAGAGTTCTCTCAGTTTTCTTCAGACATGTTGGCCTTCACTGTTCTAACAGCAACACTGATCTTCAGTTCAGAGACAGTTTTTATTATTTATTTTTCAATTAAAACATGTATCTGGGATATTAACTTCTGATCTTGATGTAATATGCTAATCAGCATCTATCACGAGTTATATCAGCCTTCTCAGCTTCCAGGTAACTTAGCCTCAAGTAGTAGTAGTAGTAGTAGTAGTAGTAGTAGTATTTTGGGGCATTCTAAATAAGGATGCCTATCTATTTTCTACTGATTAATTTGCCTATCTCGAGAACAGCCAATGAAGTTTCACATATAGTCAAAATATAGGGCTTGGCTCAAAAAAGTACTTAGACAATGCCTTCCTATCCATACTAAGGACAGAGTTCATCATTCTAGTTTCTAAATCAGTTGAATCTTTTAGAGTAAG